TAACATAAGCTTTTCTAAAAGTTGGTAATAATTATATAGTCTGGTGAATGCTTACTTAAAAATCTATCCTTAGATTTTTCTTAATCCTTACCAACCTTCACATTTTTGAATTTCTCTCTTCCTCCAATTGTAATTCTTCTGTGGTAGAAATATTTATGAAAAAGAATTAAAATATTCTATAGTTAATTAATATGTGATTATATTAAATAAAATTTATAGTATTCAGCTGTATGTTTTCTTATCATTATTAGCTAAAGGGTTTTTTTTATATTAGAGGTAATTTCATTTTCTCAGGCTTTGCTGGAAGAAAATATACCATTTCAATAGTTGAGACGTGAGGCACAATTATATCTCAAAGTAGTATCTGCTTGTTCTCTCCATTTGTAAGGTGAAAGCCATTTTTTCTTACCTCATTCAACACTGAAGCCCAAAGATAAAAACACTGTGCCAGCCCATATCCTACACTAAGATTCTCTTCTCAGACACGTTCTTTCAGGGACAGTTTTTTATTCTTGGAATGCCAAATAAGAAGAGCCTGGGGAAAGGAGAGACAAAGTATAACTAAAAAGATAAGCTTTTGGAGGGAGGAATGCGAGAGCCATCTATGCAAAGACAAGGGAGCAAAATGGAAGCACTTTGGAGGATGAGGTATCCTAAAGCTTGGACCCTCCTCCGTCTGCCATCTCACCCTTATCTGACTGATCAGTTTTGGACAACCTGCAGATCTATGGTTCTGCCATCCCTGAACAGGGAGTAGCAAGTTTTATACCTAGGTGGGGAAGAGGACCTGAGGAAAGGAGTTCCCCTTGGCTGAGTTGGAACTGAACTGACCAGTGGGGAATCTGCCCATGAGCAGAGGCAATGCTAACCCCACTGTCCTTATTACAGTTGCTTTTAGGAAGGAAACCAATAACAATAAATTACTTTTTTTGGAGATAAGACAATCAAATTTATACTCAAAAAGCAAAGATTTACCCCCACTGAAGGAAACATGTGAAGGCTGTGAAGACAATTTCAAAAAATAACTCTAGTTAATGTTTGAACAATGGTTCCATTATTGTCATAATTTTTCCACCTGTTATGGTCACTAGTTTGAAGAAGGGATGACTCAGATCTAAGTTCAAAAATCAAGCTGACTCAGACATACTTCTTCTCTGGAAAGACTCATAACTTGACATTATAACCTAAAATTTCAAATCTAAATGTAATGCTGTTCAAGCAACATAGTTGGTTTAAACAAGGACTTCCTTGAGCTACTTCTTAATACAAAGAAGTGAAACAAATGATGAGACAGTGGTAATTACAAAAAAAAAAAAAAACAGAAAAATCAGGTTTTTGAAGCAGGTTTGGCTGTGTTCTCACCTGTGGGAACATGGTAAAATTAACTCGACTTTCCTGAGTTTTAGGCTATTCATGGAAAATGGAAAATTATGATCTGTTTAGAAGAAAAGTTGTGAGTAGAGTTATAGCAGATAATGTAAAGTAGTTTTTATGTGCTTATATATCATGGTTATTATTATGATAATTAGTGGAACTTTTTAGACATTCCTGCAGGCCAGTAGGGTGGATATTTTTTGGGCAGAAGGCTTTGAGCCAACTGGTAAAAACACTCCTAACTATATACTTGTCTCATCCTACAGTCCTGTAGTTCTTTTTTTTTTTTTTTTTTTTTTTTGAGACACAGTCTCGCTTTGTTGCCCAGGCTAGAGTGAATGCCATGGCGTCAGCCTATCTTACAGCAACCTCAAACTCCTGGGCTCAAGCAATCCTTCTGCCTCAGCCTCCCAAGTAGCTTGGACTACAGGCATGCACCACCATGTCGGGCTAATTTTTTCTATATTTATTAGTTGGCCAATTAATTTCTTTCTATTTATCGTAGAGACAGGGTCTCACTCTTGCTCAGGCTGGTTTCAAACTCCTGACCTCGAGCAATCCGCTCGCCTCAGCCTCCCAGAGTGCTAGGATTACAGGCGTGAGCCACCTCGCCTGGCCAGTCCTGTAGTTCTTAATTTGGATCTGTGATGTCATGTTTTTATCTTTCTGTCAAAAAGCAGTAGACATCCTCAAAAGCCACTCTGTAGATGGATGGGTTTATTTTATAAAAGACAGCAAATGTCTTATTTAAGACACCAAACTTATCCACTGTGCAACCACATAATTTATTCTTTAAAAATTTAAATCAGCTTGTAGCAGCAGTGCAAGAACAGAGTATGGGCTGTGGCAGCAGATGTGGAAGTTGAGGCAGGACAAGCAGTTAGAAAGTTTCTTCTGCTCTTTAACCGAGTATTGGTTGAACAAAGTGCAGCTGAAACTGTAACCAAAGCAGGCATTATACTTACAGTAAAATCTCCAGGCAAAGTATCGCAAGCAGCAGTAGTAGCTCTTTGGTCAGGCCCTCAAGAAAAGGGTGCAGAGACTCAGTCAGTTAGTATGAAAGTTGGAGATAAAATTCTTCTCCCGGAATATGGAGGCCCCAAAGTACTTCTAGACCACAAGGTTTATTTTTTATTTAGAGATGATGACATTCTTGGAAAGCATTTTTAAATCACTGTTGAAATCACATCAACATGAAGCTGCCTGTTCCACTGAAGTTCTGAAATCTTTCACCAGGTAAAAAATTTCCATGTCTCCCTTTTATAATAATGAAATCCAATGTCTCTAAAATTTAGTTTCACTATACTGATATAAACAATCCAAATAAAACTATATAAATGGAAAAAAATTAAATCAAGTACATCATGCACATTTGTGTGTCACAATACACAGAAGAAAAGAGCACTGGACTAAGATAATGGGTATATTTGAATTCTGTTAGCACAACTTGCTAGCTCTGTGACATTGAAAATCATATCACTTCTCTCAGTTTCATTTTCTTGAATAGGAAAATCTGGGTGATAATTCTGTCCTATAGTTTCTTTCATCATGTGAAGATCAAATGAAATAATATACACATTAAAAATCATTAAGTATCATGCCAATTTAAAGTATTGTTGGGCTCAACCTAGGTGAAATAAAACATAAACATCCAAATTTGATGCAAATACTTAGACAAAATTACTTTTTTTGTTGTAAGCATAATTATTATTTAGGTCAAAGATATAACAATTTTCCATTTTGGTATTCCTCTGATGAATAGAGACAATAAAACTCCCTATTTTCTGAGAAGCAGCAAACAGTAACGGATGGGTTGCAGGTCTGAGTGCTAAGGTGCCCTAGTTTTGTTGTTTATTTACTTTATAATTATGGACAAATATATTGTATGCTCTTTACTTGAGTTTCATTGTCTTTAAATAAAGGAGTTTATTATGTTTCCTTTTATAAACTTAGGTAGTCATTCCTTTAAACCACCAACTTGGTTCTACCTAGGTGGTTGAGAATTTCCCCTTTCACAAACATGAATGTAGTATGTGTTATTATACCTGGTCTGTGTCCTTTAGTGGGGGCTCTAGTAGAAAAAGAGATATTCTTAAATATAAATATTAAGCGTTTAATTCCAAAGCTTAATATTTCGTAAGGAAGAAATGCCAAGAAGTAAATGTTTATGGTGGTTTTTTTCCCTAAGTTCATTTGACCTTGTTTTTTTTATTATTGAATCAATGTATTCATCATTCAATGAAAGTGTTATTGTTTTCCCCAGAAAGAATCATATATTTGCTACTCCTCCCACATAGCTGGGACTACAGGCTTGTGCCACCATACCCAACTAATTTTTTCTATTTTCGGTAGAGACTGGCTCTCGCTCTTGCTCAGGCTGGTCTCAAACTCTTGAGCCCAAGTGATCCTCCTGTCTTGGCCTCCCAGAGTGCTAGGATTACAGGCAGGAGCCACCACACCTCGCTGCTACCATTCCCCTCTTAATAGATATTTAGGTTGTTTCTAATTTTTTGATCTTACAATCTTTCAGTAAATGTTCTATACATGTTTTTTCCAGCACACATGCATATGTGTAGGACATAGAAATAAAGTTGCTGAATTAAAGAGTGTGTGTGCTTTAAATTTTACCAAATTATCTTCAAATACTGCTTACCCATTTATATTCCCACCAACAGTGTAACAAGAATACATGTTTCCCTTTATCCTGATCAATAATTGTTATTATCAGTCTTTTAAATTTTTGCAAATCTAATAGACAAAAACCTAATATTTTTTAAAAACTTGTATCCAACATTGTATGTTTGTTACCTTTTTTTCTCTGTAGTGATAGTTTATATGATTCTGTTTATACTTTTCTTTATATTTTTTATGTTGTTTAAATGATTTTGTATATAACCTTGCACACATTTATTTATTGTTTGTTTTTATTTTGCAAAAGTAGATTATAAATTCTGTATGTAATTTTTTCCTATTCTATATGACACAAGCATTTCCCTCCAATTTGTTGCTTGATATTGAACATTTTTATATTATTTTGGTTGTTGGACTTGTTAAAAGTTTTTATGAAGTCAAAGTTACCAATTTTTTCTCTCTGCCTTTTGTATTTTGTATAATGTTGTTTGTTCATGAATTTTTATTTTCCTGTTTGTATGAATAATCAAATGTTGTAGCTTATCTAGTACCTCTTAAAAAGCTGATTGGACTGTACTCCTGCATTTGTATATTTCCACAGAGATCACAAAAATTTCTCATGAAAATTGAGAAAGTTTATTACTTCTGCTTTAAAGATGGTGTGACTATGACTTTTGACATAAGCATTTTAGCATGACGTTTTTTTCCATTGTAATCATAAGGTAAACATTGCATAGCATCTTGTGTGTTTGAGTTCAAGCACGAATAATTTGTGTAGATTATACAAGTGCTGTAGCTGCACATCAAACCTGCTCTCTGAGTTGTTAACCAATGTGCTTATATATCTGCATTTTTTTCTTAGTTCAACCATACTGATTTTAAATGTCATGCAATTCATAGGCAGAAAATAGTTTTAACTCTTCTTATTGAATAAAATAATATATTTTATTAAGGAAATGGAAGATTTATTCATATAAACTTATTTTTTCCTTTAGTTTTGTCAAAACAACATGCTTCACAAGTCCTGGTTAGGAAACGTCGTGCAAATAGTTTGCTTGAAGAAACCAAACAGGGTAATCTTGAAAGAGAATGTATTGAAGAACTGTGCAATAAAGAAGAAGCCAGGGAGGTCTTTGAAAATGACCCTGAAACGGTAAGAATCCATGGAAATTATCAAGTATGCACACCTAGACATACAATTATAGATTGAACATTTACAGCTTGAGTTCCCTTGCATTCCATTTTAAATTTAATGATTTTGTACATCACCTTCCACACGTAACCACTTCCATTTCAGGAAGTGCTGTGGAAGGTGGGCTTGTTACAAAGATACTATTGCCAATAATAATCTGTTCTGACCAAGGTGTAATTCAATTATACTTCATTATCAGCAAATAGTATTCACCTCATGGTCTGTAAATATTTTTCCCACCAGAATTTGGTAGTATGAGGGGGATGGGAGAGGACGTCTCAAGTATAATGTGTGTATGTGTGTGTGTGAGTGTGTGTGTGTGTGTGTGTGTGTGTGTTTGGATTGTTATCACTATGCTTTGTTCAATCTCTCTATTGGCATTTATTTTTAACTAGGCTTTGGAAAACAGGGCCATCTAATCCAGAACTTGGTATGTAGCAGATACTCAGTGAATGCCTAATGTAGAATTCATTACTGTGTACTGTGTACACTGAGTAAACTTTAATTTATTACATATACCCTTGGAAAGCTTTCTGAATCTACTTTATATAAGCAATAAGCCCTAGGATTACAATTTATACTTTCAGTGTATGAAATTTTCTAAGTTTGTCGAGAAAAATCTAGGCCGGGCGTGGTGGCTCACACCTGTAATCCTAGCACTCTGGGATGCCAAGGCGGGTGGATTGCTCAAGGTCAGGAGTTCGAAACCAGCCTGAACAAGAGCGAGACCCCGTCTCTACTATAAATAGAAAGAAATTAATTGGCCAACTAATATATATAGAAAAAATTAGCTGGGCATGGTGGTGCATGCCTGTAGTCCCAGCTACTCAGGAGGCTGAGGCAGGAGGATTGCTTGAGCCCAGGAGTTTATGGTTGCTGTGAGCTAGGCTGACGCCATGGCACTCACTCTAGCCTGTGCAACAAAGCGAGACTCTGTCTCAAAAATAAAAAAAAAAAGAAAAAGAAAAATCTAATCACAAGGATCCCTAAATATCATACAGAAATATGGGACCCCTAGACCTTATCTTTAGTCCCCCTAATTTTCCTAGGGGAGTCTGAGGTTTTAGTGAGCTATGATGACACCACTGCACTCTAGCCAGGGCAACAGAGCAAGGCTCTGTCTAAAAAAAGAAAAAGGAAAAAATTATTGTGAGGGGGACCTTGAGAATTCTAATCAGATAACCTTCAGATTACCTCCGATATTTTTCCTGAGATGAACTGTATAACTAGAGCAAAAGAGGGAGAACCCATGTACAAAGTACCTCACATACTTCTTCCATGGCTCCCAGGACGATGAGAATAGATAAGAGATAATGAGCAGGAACCATTTGTTTATGGTTAGAATATTTGTCCAAATCAGTAGCAACTTGTTTTCTGGGGCTGCTAGTTAATCCTTTTTACCTCCACCTGTTCTAATAGGTTAAAAGGGAATTTATACCAAGGTACTCAAAGATTAATTATTAATACTCTTCAGAAATGAATGAAATGTTTCTCTCCATGGTTGTTGCTTTTGTGGCTATGCAATTGACAGGACAAAGATATTTTATTCCACACAATATGGTAGAATACTTTTATTACATAGGAAACATATATAATGTATATATGTTATATGCCTGATATTTATATTATAAATGTGTTTTTGACATATTTTGTATTTCCATAATAAAAAGGAATGTGTATATATTGTATAGTAAAAATTACAAATTTCCATAATGAAAAGGAATACAGTGTATATATAATTGTGTGTGTGTGTATATATGTGTGTGTGTGTGTATATATAGTGTCATATGTGTTATATTCCTTTTTATTATGGAAATGTTAAATACCAAAGTAGAGAGAAAAATGTAATAAATTTACCTACCCCTGGTTCAACAGTTATCAACCATCTGCCATTCTTATTCTGCCCATTTTTAACCCATCCATTCTAATTTTTGTTTTGTTTTTCTGGAATATTTTTTTTTTTTTTGAGACAGAGTCTCGCTTTGTTGCCCAGGCTAGAGTGAGTGCCGTGGCGTCAGCCTAGCTCACAGCAACCTCAGACTCCTGGCTCAAGCAATCCTCCTGCCTCAGCCTCCAAGTAGCTGGACTACAGGCATTCACCACCATGCCCGGCTAATTTTTTGTATATATTAAGTTGGCCAATTAATTTCCTTCTATTTTTATAGTAAGACGGGTCTCGCTCTTGCTCAGGCTGGTTTCGAACTCCTGACCTCGAGCGATCCGCCCGCCTCAGCCTTCCAGAGAGCTAGGATTACAGGCATGAGCCACCGCGCCCGGCTTTTCTGGAATATTTTAAGGCATGGCTGCATGCCCAAGATGTCATATTACTACATCACCCATAAACACTTGAGTGTGTATTTCTAACGTTGTAGATATGTTCTTAGAAATTAGGGTCTAAGTAGCAGAAGGAGGAATAAGGGAGAAGACTGCAATGGAGAGAAGAAAAGATAGCAAAAAAGGAAAACTCCTTTATGCATGTCCTCCTCTGTTAACTCTAACATTGGTCTCATTGACAGAAAAGAAAAAGATGACAGAGACAGGAGGACAAAAATGGGAAAAATGAAATGAAAGGAAAAAAAATTGTTAATGTTTATCATTTTCTACCCTACCCCAACCACTCCCTGACCACATCCCTAGTACTCTAGGGCACATTTCCAATCTTCACCCTGTTGCTTACCTCTCCACTGTCCCTAATATATTCCTTTCACTATCATATATCACCTTTTGAAGCCCATTTGTTGTTGCTTATCCTTCTGGCTTTTCTTCTGTAGAAGACAATACTGTTGTCTGAATTACTTGCTGGGAGATTTCATCCTTATAAACCAGTAGGTAAGTGTTGTATAGGTTTATATGTGAGAGGATGAAAGAATGGGGACTGTACTAGATGACTCTGTACTAGATGAAGACATGTTTTGTACTTACTAATTTACTAATTTTTGTAAAATTAAGCATAATATGTTTTTGTGCAAAAATTCTGGTTTCTCATGAGGTGTTCTTGTGTTGTTAATGCTACATGTTAGATATATTATGAATGCTTTTGTGGACCAGCCTGGGAAATTACTGTCAGAAATTTCTAACATTTTTCTTCCTTTGGTAAGGTACATTGCTTAGTCCAAATTATTGATTTACAGACAAACTTTTGGTACACAACCAATTTATAAGTAAAGTATTGCATATACATAAGATGCTACAAAATAAATGTTCAGTTTAATTAACTGTTATTCAACATTGACTCTGTGTGGATGATTATCATGACACTAACTGTGTCAAATGAGTATCTGTTCATTATGGAAAAATTTAAGTATTTACAAAAAAGGAGCATATATGATTATATTTAATGTCTTAAATAGGATTTATTTTCAGATTAGAAGCTTTTAAAACATGAGTTAAGTGATTAATATTGCCTTAAGGCCACACATCTTATTGGTTTAACTGTATTACTTATCTTCTCTCTTGGTATATTTTACTATAGAAAAAATATGATATTATAATGTGAAAATGACCGTTGTATGTAATTTACATGCAGTTTAATATAAAAACATATTATAAAATTAAGTTTTAACTTTTTAATGAAATTTAGGTTTGATAATATATATTTTTTCTTTTTTCTCTTTCTAGGATTATTTTTATCCAAAATACTTAGGTAAGTTCAAGCATCTTAATCATATAATCATATAATAGAAGGGAACTTACATAGGTTCAAGTCTAACTCTCTACCCATATATTCCATCCAATATAATTTCATTATACTGGAGATTTCATTTTATATGCAATTTTGATGTTCTTTTATTTAAATACATGCAGACAAATTTGGACTTATTCTTTTATTACCATGTGGCATTTTGACTTTTGCATGATGAGTCTTCGGGCTAATGTTTAGTTGTATTTAGGTAACAAGACTTTTTTTGTAAGTATATGAATTTTCATGGGTTATCTTTTAACGAAAGGAAAGATCTCTAAACTCTTCAGAGATTATGACATAAATAATTATCATTTAAATAGTTATAGAAATCATTAACAGCTTATCTCTTTACAACACCATTTCATCAATTCCTGCAGTATCCTGTCCATGTTCTGTTTTTGGATATGATTCTGTGCTCTCAAGGAGTGAGGTAGTATTTCCACACTCAAATAGATTAGATGATTTCAATTACATATCAATTAAAGGTAACAAGGCTCCAGTTTGCTTTAAGCAAATAGAGAAATGTTTTATATTCATATTCCTTGAGCGAGTTGTTGGTATTTCCAAAAATAAAAGTGGAGAATAATTTGTACACCTCTCTCTGATGGGATTCTCTGTAGTCGTAGAACACAGAGATGTGCTCTCCCTCCTCCTTTAGGTTCCAAATATTGCTCATCCATGCATCTTTCCACCCTACTCTCATCCTAGCCAATTTGAAATGAAAAGTAAATATTCTTCGAAAATAAAAAGTAGAAATGGGCTCCGATATAATAACTATGCAGCTTAGAATTTTTAATATAATTTTGCAAATAATGGTTTATTAAACTCTAACTTCTCATGAATTTTGAAGGTTTAATTATAGTTTAGGAGCTTTATTTTTGTTTGGTTTTGTTTCTAAATATCCATGCAGAGATTCTAAGGAACATCATGAGATGAAGGAATATTAGAACTTTCCCATTGTTCTTAAAGAGCCTTACACTGAAGTGATGTATGTATCACTTAACGAGAGGGATACATTCTGAGAAATGCATCATTAGGCTATTTTGTCGTGCAAACATTATAAAGTGTACTTACACAAACCTAGATGGTATAGCTTACTACACATTAGGCTATATGTTATAGCCTATTGGTTTTAGGCTACAAACCTGTACAGCATGCTACCGTACTGAATACTGCAGGCAGGGGCCAGTTCACTGTCTCTCAGACCGTTGGAGGGTGGTTGGAGAGTGCAGTGCACATTCCTCACATGCGTACTGTGGGCCCGGGACAAGTCAGCTGCTAAGAGTGCCGCGCACATTCCACACATGCCACTGTGGGCCTGGGACAAGTTGGCTGCTAAGCAGGACAGGCAGCAGCAAAAACACTGGGCGGGCCGGATAAATGTCCTCTGCGGGCGCATGTGGTCCGTGGGCCATAGTTTGAGAATGCCTGACTGCAGGCAATTATAGCACAATGCTAAATATTTGTCTATCTAAACATACTTACACACAGAAAAGGCAATGTTCTGCACTATGACCTTACAATGGCTAAGTTGTCATTAGAAGATAGGAATTTTTCAGCTCCATTATAATCTTAGAGGACCACCATGGTATATGTGGTTTGTCATTGACTGAAATGTTGTTATGCAGCCCATGTCTATATTTCTGTTTACCTTTGGGACAATTAAGAAACTAAGAGCCCGTGACCACTAGGTGAAGACCCTTTAGAACCAGGAGCTCTTTTCCATAGATACGGATATTGTTACTCTTCCATTTTTTAAGTGTCAACGATGGTCCAAAGCTTTGTTTTTGTTTTGTTTTTATTTAGTTAGTTATTATTCTTTCATTTTTTTCTACTACCATACAATACGAATTTTATATTTGTGGCATATCCTGAGCCAAGGGGACTCAGCTATAATATACTACACTTTAGTTCACCCTCTCATCAACTGTAGGACATCAATTCCGTGGTTTCCCTTTAGAATGCCATGTCATTTTACATTTCTGTTCTCTTTGCTGCTGGGTGTTTTCTAGTTGGCCTATCACTATTTCTTTTTATAATCTCCAATCCAACATTTCTTTTTTGCAAGATCTTAAAATTATTTAAGAATTGTTAAGTATTAAACTATATGTTCTATAGTTTTCTCATTTGTCAAATGGATAGAAATAATTTACCTAATAAGTTTGTAGCAAGAAATACAATGAGATGTTTTCAAAGCACTTAGTAAGATATTTGTCATAGGCGGGGCATGGTAGCTCATGCCTGTAATCCTAGCACTCTGGGAGGCCGAGGCGGGCAGATTGCTCGAGGTCAGGAGTTCGAAACCAGCCTGAGCAAGAGCGAGACCCCCGTCTCTACTATAAAAATAGAAAGAAATTAGTTGGCCAACTAATATATATATGTAGAAAAAATTAGCTGGGCATGGTGGCGCATGCCTGTAGTCCCAGCTACTCAGGAGGCTGAGGCAGGAGGATTGCTTGAGCTCAGGAGTTTGAGGTTGCTGTGAGCTAGGCTGACGCCATGGCACTCACTCTAGCCTGGGCAACAAAGTGAAACTCTGTCTCAAAACAAAACAAAACAAAACAAAACAAAACAAACAGATATTTGTCATGCTAGTCCTCTTCATTTTTCTTCCCTGGCTTCCCTTCTGTTCCCTTTTTTTTTTCTTTCACTTTATAGCTACTAATATCAAACTTAAATAATTTCCTTCAAATTTGGAAAAGCCATAATACAAAAATTGTCAGGTGATTTATTTACATATTACTGTGTCTATAGATACTGAAGTGCAACACGATTTAGCTGCCATATCTTAAAGGGGCAATGGAATATAGGTATACATCCTTGAAAAATATTTCTTCTTTTCGAAAATTACATTTACTTTCTAAAACAAGTATTACATTTACTTTCTAAAACAGGTATTACATGTACTTTCTAAAACAAAAATCAAGCATTTGTACTGTCAAAGTGGAGGAAAGACAAAATATCAAGACTATTTCAGCTTCTCAATTTAGGTGTAGAAATTTAAAATTTTGTAATAAAACTAGACAGTGTTTAGCTCTTATAAATTATAAGCTTTCATTAAAAAATATATTAATTATTAACCTTTGCCTCTTAGAGCCTTGTAATGAGGCAGTGTTCTTGCACACAACACTCCAGAAGATATATTCCTTTGATCACAGAGTACATTTAGATAAAGATAAATAACATTTGAATACAGCATTATGTGTTCTGGGGAAATTCCTTAGATAAAATATTTTCCTTTTCTCCTTTCATCCCTTTTAGTTTTTTTCTTTTCTGGCTCCACCTAACTTTCTTTTCTCTTTGCCTGTCTTGGCAGCATGGTAAAAAACTAAAGTATGAAAAAAAAAAGAAAACCTCAAAAACAAAAACACAAGATGTGGGCATTAGTCCCAGACCTAAAAATTTCTAGCTGTGTCAGGTTAAGCAAGTTACTTAACTATTTAACTTTTCAGGTTCTGTATTTTAAATGTGTACTATAACTACATTTTCTAACTTCAGAGCTCATATATATGGATAGATTTTTTTACTCTGTCAAATTTGTTCAAATGTAAACTATTATTATTTAATCAACCCATCATATGAAACAAAAATATACTTTTTATTATGATTTGGTTTTTGATTCAAATTTTATATTTTGTTCTTTACTTATATATAAGTATATGTGGTGAATCCCACTGTTGAAAACAGAAAAAAAAAAATGCCCTACCTAAGTTAAACTTTTCTGTCATTTGATGTGTATATGCTATAGCCTATGGCAGGCCCTAAGTTAAGGGGGAAAAAAAACTTTATAATCCTGTCCCTGGCAAACTTAACAGTAGTTTTACTAATTATGACAGCTCATACAGGAAGCTCTTTATAGTGAGATAAGGTCACCAAAGAAATTAGACAACTGTGACCCATACTTTTTGGAGAGAATTTAGACTTAGTTTAAGGGTTCATAAAGCACTTCAGTCCATCCACATATCTCACTCACTGTCTTAAAACATGCAATTTGGAAAAAAACACCCTGTGTTTCACTGTACAAACATAAGTTTTTAATTGTGTTGTTTGTTCCTTAGGAAATAAGATGAATAACTCTACCATCTGTATAGTCCTGTGAAAATATCACCTGATAGAGTGAATAATTCTGTTAATGAAAGAGAAACTTCCTGGGAAGAATACTAAGCTCTGAGCCTGAATATAAACATTAGAATTCATTTTTAGTTTCTAGCTCCTGCCGAGTTAGTGAATTATCCCAAACTACTGACTCCCTCCCTTCAAATCCTCTCTAGAGAAACAATAAGATTCCCGGCATTAATAATAGCAAAATAAAATGAAAAACAACAAGAAGTATAAGAAAAGTGTAAAAAGCCCAGGTGGACTGAATGTGGGCTTGACCTGGTGTGTGTGGGTGGGGAATTGGGGTGCTGACAGCTGAGGCAGCAGAGAGACAACAGATTGGAGGATTTTAAAAGTGACCTAAACTTTCAAATCAATAAAACAAGCCAAAAAAGTATACTAGAGCAAACCCTGACTAACAAGAAATTAAAAAAATAACAATAATAGAGATAGAAAAAAAGTGAAATAGATAGAAGAGAGGACTAACAAAAGCAAAGTCTCATTCTTTGAAAATATTAATGAGTTGGATTGACATCTGGCTAGAACAATTAAGGAAAAACAAACAAACAAAAATGCCAATACACAAAGTACAGGATGAAAAGGGGAGGGAGCTTAAATCCAACATATATTGAAAAGGTAATCATAAAATATTACAAACAGCTATACCAAAATACATTTGGAAACCTAGATAAAATGGGTATTTTCCTAGAAAAATATATTTATAATTTCATAGGAAGCAATCAAGAACTGGGTTATACGAATACATACTAAACAAGTTACAACTTTGGTCAAAGCTCTCTTGTACAAATTTTCACACACACAAGACACAGACAACAGAAAAGTAATTTTACAGATTAAGTTCTTCCAAAAATTGGTGAATTTTTAATTTATAAAATTGTCCTAAAAAATGAGAAGAAACAAATAATTAGTGAAGCTTATTTTAAAGAGCTTATTATAATCTTGACTAAACAAACCAAGATCAGGACAATATAAGAAAATAAAAATATAATTTCTTTTAATTTTTTAATCCTAAATAAAATGATATCCAGTCTAATAACAAAGATAAAAATTACACAAAAAAATAAATTAGGTTTATTCCAGAATTTAAGGATAGAAAAACACATAATAAATACTAAATTCACATACACATATAGAATAATATATTAAACCCATATCATAGAAGCAGTGTGAAGTTCAACCTTAATTGTGATAAAAACTTTGAGATACAAACTAAGAATAATAAGAAAAGTTTCTTGAACAACAGAACGCGGTGGCTCACGCACTGTAACCCTAGTTACAAACTGGGAGGACAAAGAAGAGAAAACAAGCATGAGGTCGGGAGTTCGAAACCAGCCCTGAGCAAGAGCAAACACAACAACACATACATAAATAGAAGAAACCCTAATTGGCCAACTGATATAATATAGAAAAAATTAGCCGGGCATAGGTGGCACAAATATATACAGATAAACCCAGCTACTTGGGAGGCGAGACAGAAGGAAAACAAACATAATGACCAGGAGTTTGAGCGTGCTGTGAGCTAGGCTGATGCACGGTCACTCACACTGTAGCCGTAGGCAACAAAGTGAGACCACTGTCTCAAAAAAAAAAAAAAGGAAAAGAAAAGTTTCTGAGCTTGGTAAAGCTTAAGTATAGAGAAACTATATAATTTATCTTACAAATTCTGCTCCTTCAGTTTAGGATTATTATCTAGATAAATGCCAGATACAAAAGAATAAAATAGGATTGTTCTGGGAAAACAATGTGTTGGACTTCCCAGCCTCCAGAACTATAAGAAATAAATTTCTTTACCTGGTCTCTGGTATTCTATTATAGCAACACAGAGCAGACTAAGACATAAGATTGGTACCAGAAATGGGGTTTTTGCTATAACACCTGAAAATGTGGAAGTGGATTTAGAACCAGGTAATGGCTAGAGGTTACAAGAATTTGGAGGAGTAGGCTAGAAAAAGCCTAGATTGCCACAAATGGAGAATTGAAAGTGATTCTGGTGAGAAGTCAGAAGAGAAGAAATGGAGGGGAAGTCTGGAATTTCTTAGAGATTACTTAAGTGTCATGATAAGAATATTGGTAAAAATATGCATGGTAAAGGCCATTCTGATGAGGTCCCAGATGGAAATGAGAAAAAAAGCATTGGAAACTAGAGTAAAGGTCATCTTTGTTACAAGGTGGCAAATAATTGGGCTGAATTGTGTCCATGCCTGAGGCTTTATGGATACAGAATTTAAGAGTGCTGAACAAAGAAAAGTATCTGAGAAATTTCTAAGCAAAATATTGAAAGAGTTGCACAGCTACTTTTAATGGTATATAGTAAAGTGCAAGAGGAGAGAAATTCTTAGATTTTATAATTAAAAGGGAAGCAGGGTGAAAAGATTTGGAAAACTCGCAGCCTATCATCCATTTAAAGGGTGAAGAGGTGTCTTTAGGATAACAAACCAAGTAGAACAGGGCCAAGTAACTATTCGCTAAAGAGGTTATCATGGATAGAAGGGAGCCACATGATATTCATCAAGACAATGAGAGAAAGACCCCAAAGGCATTTCAGAAATCTTCAAGGTTTCCCCTTTCAACACTGACCCAGAGCAGGACCTTCATGCAAGGTTTTCATAGAGATGCCTGCAGGACCTCAGTGTTCACTGCCTCAGCACTCTGCTCCTTGAATTCCAGTGCAGTGATGCTCAACCATCCCAGCCATGGCTCAGGTGCACCCAGGTGCATCACAACCCACCACTTGGGAAGGTACAAGCCATAAATGTTGGTGGTGTCCTTGTGGTGCTAATTCTGCAGGTGCACAGAATGCAAGAGCTGTGGGGCCAGGGCAGCCCCCACCTATGTTTCAAAGGATATCATGGACAACCCTTGGGGCTCAGGCAAAGATTTGTTCCAGGGGCAGAGCCACCACCCAGAGGCCTCACTAGGACAATGCCCAGTAGAGATGTAGGAGTGGAGCTACCACAAAGAGATTCACAGGCACAGCAAAAAGGCCTCAGACAAATGCCCTGGAAAACAGGGGGCACTTGATATGACTTCAGCCCTTGCAGAACTCTAGAAATACATTATTTTCTTTACAATTATCCAGTCTATTGTATTCTGTTATAGCAACACAAAGCAGACTAGGATAGGGGTTCCAGAAGTACCACAAGATGTGTCCTTATCTGTTTTTCTGGACATACCAACCCACCATCGGTCAGGCTGAATAATGACTCCCCAAAGATATCCAGGTCCTAATCCTCAGACCTGTAAATGTTACCTAAATGACAAAAAGCCACTTTGCAGATGTGATTAAGTTAAGGATCTTTTTTTTGTTTGTTTGTTTTTGTTTTGTTTTTTTTCTGTGAGACAGAGTCTCGTTTGTTGCCCAGGCTACGAGTGAGTGCCGTGGCATCCGCCTCCAGCAACTCACTCTGGCTCAAGCAATCTCTGCCTCAGCCTCCAAGTAGCTGGGACTACCGCATCGGCCCATTGGCCGGGCTATTTTTGGTATATATACTTCGTTGGCAATCAATTTCTTTCTATTCTATAGTGGAGACCGGTGGCGCTCGTTTGCTCAGGAGTGGTTTCGAAGACTCCTGACATCGAGCACTCTCCCGCCTCGGCATCAACAGAGAACTAAGAGATTCTAACCAATGGTGAGACACCCAGCGCCCAGCCAAGTTCAAGGATCTTATTGCATGGGAGCATTAAGTCGAGATGGATATCTGAGAGCAGGGCCCATAATAACTCATACAAGGTATCATTATCAGAGGGTTTGCCAGGAAGATCAGAGTCACTAATCAAATGTGACAAGTGCCAAGACTATCGAAGCATGAAGCCAAGATGAGGCAGAGCCAAACATGCCGATGCATCTAAACTTAAAAACAAGTATCAGAAGTTGAAGCTACTTGAACTGATTTGTTTTAGATTTCTGTCCCCATAACTATAAGACAATAAATTTGTTTTTCTAAAGCTGCTACATTTGTGGTAATTTGTCACAGTAGCAATAGGAAACTTAAACACATACTGACTTCAAGAGAGGCTTTGAATCTGTGATAAATTGCATTTTTCCAAAGATAGCACAAAAATATCCCCCATCCCACATAACTCTTTTACAGTGGGCCATTTTGCCATGAAGAAGTAGAATCTGTCTCCCCTCCAACCCCCTTGAATCTGGGTGGACCTGGGACTGCTTTGATCAATAGAATGTGGTGGAAGTGATACAATACCCCTTAACTGTCCTGGCAGCTTCCGCTTTCTCCTTGGAAGCTAGCTGCTGTGAAAGAAGTGCTAGGAACAGCATGCTTTTTCAACTGCATGGGGAATTCCTAAGCATGAAATACCATGTGGAAAGAGACATGCCAAAAAGCTTGAGTGCCATCTTGGAAGTAGATCCCCCAGCCTCAGCCACCCTGGCTGACTCTCCACGAGCAGAGACAAACAGCCCAACCAAACTCTTCCCAAATATTTGATCCACAAATCGTAAGAAAAATAAAACGATTATTTAAGCTACTAATTTTAGAAGTTGTTTGTTACCCATCAAAAGCTAACCAAAACACCACCTTTTTTAGCAAGTTGTTGACTATCTGAACAATGAAGTGATACATAGAATGTCTTCATTGGCTATCAAGAATTATATTTTTGGCACTAAGTGTCTCCTAATTACTTTAAAGTCCTTAGTACTTTGTCTCTATTATTTCAGCTGTTATTTCTTAGTTTGCTAGCAATATCTGCTAGGTTACAATATCTAATTTCACAGGATTGTTGTGAAGAATGAAAGGAATGAAATAAACCTGCTTTGTAATATTGAAGCATTATACAAATATTATTGTATTAGTCTCTATGCAACATTAAAAAAAGTGGAAGTTGCCTACAGCAACAAGAGACACTAACTCATTCTACTGACTTAATTATATATACTTTATAAAGGCTGAGGCTCTGGTCTACAGATTTGAGGATAACATTACATCTCTGTTACAGAATTAAAAACATAGATTTATATGATAATAAATTTCCCTGCTAATCCAAGGTTTTTTTCATCTCTGGCTTTAAGGTTCTTCTACAGAGAGAAGCAGCTACTATAAACCTATTTTTCATGATTTTGTATTTATTATAATCTTGCTTGCAGATTTTTACATTTTCACAAACGTAGATGAAAACATTTAGGGCCGATATTTTGAATACTTAATTTTGTGAATCCACAGGAGCATAAATATCCTACCTCTTGAGATAATTTCTACCATGATTTCAAATCAGTGTCTACTCTAAGAAGATTGTGTATGTTTTTATTTACAGGTTGTCTTGGCTCGTTTCGAGCAGGATTATTCACTGCTGCACGTCAGTCAACTAATGCTCACCCTGACCTAAGGAGCTGTGTCAATGGTAAGTGCTTCTACCATCAATTTAAAAAACAAAACAAAACAAAAATCCTACAAGTAAAGTATAACCATGTTAACACAAACTAGTATTTAAAATCAACACATGAGCCCTTGATGATTTGTATGGCCAGCAAAAAAAGTATTTTTAAACTGCAGCTGAAAGAATGCTTTGTAGTTGTAAATACTTCTGTTTTACTCAAAATGAATTTTTCATCTAATATTTAAACTGAGCAGTGTTCCTCGTTTAGTAAGCTTTAGGTCATAGACTTCAGAATTTTTATTCCTCACAGCTTTATTTTGGCTGTTGTTGCATAATCATGTAGTATAACCAAATGTTACAGTTGATTAATAGGTCAAAGTGGAGCTATGTTTATTTTTCTAACTTTTTGGCATCAATAATACAGATGTGGGAAATATCATGTGAATCAAATTAGCCTTCTTGGGCCAATTTGTGGTCTAAAGATCACAAAGGGCCTGATGATAATGTTGGTAGATTATTTTTTACTAATTTACCAATTTTCCAACTGAGAGTAAAAGCAAAAAGATGCAACTGAAATATATAAATTGTGATGTTTGTTCAGTGAATATTTTACATGCAGCATAGACATTCTCTAAATATTCATCTATCTGCATTTTCCTCAGTTTAAAGTGGCTGTAGTTTCATAGGTAGAACAGTTTGCCTGAACATATATATTTAATTTATACTTTATCTTTTAAAAAAAAAAATCTACCAAAAAACAGGAAAATAATAGTTTTGGTAACAATTTCCTAATAGCTTGTTTTCTATCATTTTAACTAGTGCCTAATTTATTAACATTTTCCAAAAAATTTAATGACTTTATGATAAAAGTTTTTGAAAAATTCTGGGATTAATTAAGTTTTAGTTAGATTGGTTATTTATCTATCAAACAACAGAGGTTTCCTCTATTTTAAGCAAAGAGATGGAAGTATTTGGAATATTGGATGTATTGGAAAAAGGAGAAGAACTTGTACAATTGACTAGGAAGATTTGAGAAGCAAGTGTGAAACTGTGCATAAACCAAGGGACTATTGTAATGTCTAATGAGGGGAAAGAGATCACAAAATAATACAGAAAGAGTGCATGTCATTTGACAGGTGGATAAATTAGTATGATATTTTATGAAGAAAATAAACAAAGACTATAATTGAGCTTTACTTTGTAATTTTTAATATTCTTTTTTCTGGTAATATTACTTATTCTAAAATCTACTTTATTTTATATTAATATAGTCACTCTGGCTTTATTTTGATTCATGTTTTTATGATATATTTTTATCTATTAATTTTTTTTTTTTTAAAGAGTCTTGCTTTGTTGCCGGGATAGAATGCAGTGGTGTCAACATAGCTCATTGCAACCTCAAACTCCTGGGCTCAAAGCGATCCTCCTACCTCAGCCTTTTGAGTAGTTAGGACTACAGGCTCATGCCACAAAACCCGGCTAATTTTTCTATTTTTAGTAGAGACAGGGTGTCGATCTTGCATAGGCTGGCCTTGACTCCTGAGTTCAGGTAATCCTCCTGCCTCGGTCTCCCAGAGTACTACATTACAGGCATGAGCCACCATGCCTGGCCCATCCATTAATTTTAAAAATATCTATGTGTATATATTTCAAGTGAGTTTCTTTTGAGTCTTGCTGTTTTATCCAGTCTGAGAATTGCTGTATTTTAATTGGAATGTTAGAGTATAGAGCATTTATATCCAATGTAATCATTGATATGATTGGGTTTAAATTTGTTGGTGATCCCATCTGCTTTTTTTTTTTGTATGATTATGTACATTTTTTTTATTTCGGCATATTATGGGGGGTACAGATTTTAAGGTTCAATAAATGCCCATTCCCCCCTCCCCACAGTCTGAGCTCCAGTATGACCATCCCAGATGGTGCACATCTCACTCATTATGTATGTATATACCTGCCCCCCTCCCCCCTCATTTGCTTTTTTTTTTTTGAGACAGTCTCACTCTGTGCCTGGCTAGAGTGAGTGCCATGGCGTCAGCCTAGCTCACAGCAACCTCAACACCTGGCTCAAGCATCCTCCTGCCTCAGCCTCCCGAGTACGGACTACGGCATGTGCACCATGCCCGGCTAATTTTTTCTGTATGTATACTTGGCAATTAATTTCTTCCTATTTATAGTAGAGACAGGGTCTCGCTCTGCTCAGGTGGTTTCAAACTCCTGACCTCGAGCAATCCGCCCCTCCGGGCCTCCCAGAGTGCTAGGATTACAGGCGTGAGCCACTGCGCCCGCCTCATTTGCTTTTTGATTCCTCCTCCTGCAATTGTGCCAAATAATTGAGTCTCCTTTGGGGGTTAATTTTATGGTATCTCCACTATTTACTTGCTAATTATACCTCATAAGCTTATTTTGCTCTTTTCTTTAGTGTTTACAATGTACATCAGTAACTTTTTATAGTCTACATTCAAAATATTATACTACATATACAGTGTAAGGAACTTAAAATGATAGAATTTTATGTTCTTTCTATTTTTTGAACTGTTTCTGCCTTAGATTTTAATATTATACATTATCAACTCCACAATACATTAGTTTAAAAAGAGATTAACAAATGAGAAGATATTAATTTATATTTTCTCAAATATTTACCATTGCTGGCACTCTGTATTCTTTTGTGTAGATCCAAATTTCCATCTGTAAACATTTTCCTTCTGCATCAAGAACTTGCTTAATATTTTGTTTAGAGCATTTCTGATGAAGATAGATTTTCTCAAATTTTTATTTTATATATATATATTTTTTTTTTTGAGACAGAGTCTCACTCTGTTGCCTGGGGTAGAGTGCTGTGGCATCAGCCTGGCTCACAGCAACCTCAAATTCCTGGGCTCAAGGGATCCTCTTGCCTCAGCCTCCTGAGTAGCTGGTACTACAGGCATGCACTCCACCATGCCCAGAAAATTTTTTTACATTTTTAGTTGTCTGGCTAATTTCTTTCTATTTTTAGTAGAGACAGGGTCTCGCTCTTGCTCAGGCTGGTCTGGAACTCCTGAGCTGAAGCAATCCTCCCACCTCAGCCTCCCAGAATGCTAGGATTACAGGTGTGAGCCACTGTGCCAGCCAATTTCTCATATTTTTAAATCAAGAATGTATCCTATATTGATTTTATTTTTGGAAGATATTTTTATTAAAGACTTACTCATTGATATGTTCTTTCAGTCCGTTAAAGATGTCTCTCCATTGTCTACTGATCAGAATAGATTCTGATGAAAAATCTGCTGTCATTCTTAGTTTTTCCCCTATGTATGTACTGGTTTTTTTGTTTATTTGTTTGTTTTTCCTTCAATCTGGATTTAATATTTCTCTTTGTCACTGGTTTTCTTCAAATTGAAATGGTATTTTTACCTTCGTTCTGCTTGGGGTTTGCTGAACTTCCTAGATCTGTGGGTTCATAATTTTCATTATAGTTGGAAATTATTTAATATTATTTCTTGGCCGGGTGCTGTGGCTCATGCCTGTAATCCTAGCACTCTGGGAGGCTGAGATGGGCGGATCATTTGAGCTCAGGAGTTCAACACCAGCCTGAGTAAAAGCGAGACCCCATTTCTACTAAAAATAGAAAGAAATTATCCGGACAATTAAAAATATATAGAAAAAATTAGCTGGGCATGGTGGTGCATGCCTGTAGTCCCAGCTACTGCCTGTAGACCCTTCTGCTGAGGCAGAAGGGTCGCTCGAGCCCAGGAGTTTGAGGTTTCTGTGAGCTATGCTGATGCCAGGGCACTCTAGCCTGGGCAGCAGAGTGAGACTCTGTCTTAAAAACAAACAAACAAACAAACAAATATTACTTCTTCACATTTTTTTCCCACAGCTATTTCTCCTGTTCACCTAGGAGTTCAATAACACATATATTAGGCCATTTGATAGTGTTCCACAAGTCACTGATTCTCTGGTTATTTATTTATTGGTTGTTTTTATCTGTTCTTCATTTTGGATAGTTTTTATATCTTCAAGTTCATTCTTCTTTTCTTCTGCCATGTGTAATTTGCTTTTAATTCCCCCTTCAGTATTTTTTTTTTATTTCATATATTTTAGTTTTCATCTCAATAACTCCCATTTAGGTCTCATACATCTATATATTTTTTTCATTGTATGTTTGTATTTACTACTGGAACATATGAAGTTCAGTTATAATAGTTGTATTGACTTTTCTGCTTGTTCTATCATTTCTGGGTATTTATCCATCATTTGATTTTTCTCTTGGCTATAGGCCATGTTTTCTTGCTTCTTAGCATGCCTACTTGAAGTTTTTACAAGACAAGACAAATACTACTCATAGTATCAGTAGAAAAGAGAATTTGGGACTTCTAATTTGAGTTAAGATAAAGTAATGGGGACCAGATTTACTCTTCTGTGTTAAATAAGTAGAACTCTTGTCAAATATATGAAACAACAGTTTTTAGACGTTGTATAACAGGCAGCATAGTGCTGCAATTCTAAAGGGAAGGAAAATAAGCAGTGTATGTTATTGGATTCTAGATTTTGTTGTCTTCTTCCAAATACTGTTTGCTTTTGTTTTAATACTCAGCTAAGTTACTTGGAATATGTTAATAAAGCCTTGAATTTAAGGTCTGTTAGGGCAGTCTGGAGTAGCCATTGGCTTAACATTAATTTAGCCTCTATAAATAAGGCTATATCCTTGTGATAATTTTACCTGATGCCCTCCATAGTATGAGATATTTTCAGTCTAGCTAGTGTAAAATGAATTATCGCTAGCCCTGTGTAAACTCTACAAATTGTCCTGTGCAAATCATTATTCAGCCAAAGACTTTAGGAGATATTATTGCAGATCTCTAGAGTCTCTCTCTCTCCCCCACCCCCTTCTTACTCCCTCTTTCTCTCCCCACACATACACACCATTTTCTCTCTCTGCCTTTACAGTAGTACCTTGGCCAGAAAAATTCTAGTTTGACCTCCCAGACTCTAATATTTGTCTTTTTGACACAGAGAGACCATTGGACACTAATTTTCTTGCATTGTTGTATAGAAACTGTCTCTAGGCAATAAGGTGCTATTGTAGGGCTCCCCTTGTTTATTTCCTTTCCCTTAGGAATCACAGTATTCTGCTTACTGTTCTACAATGTTTGAAAAATCATTATTTCATGTATTTTGACTGAGGTTCTACTTATTTAAGACAAGAGGATAAATCTGGTCCCCGTTATTCCATCTTAGCATGAATTGAAAGTCCCAAGTTCTTTTTTCTATTGATACTAAGAGTAGTATTATTTGTTCTTCCTACCTCATGGAATGTTTTTAAGGATCAAATAAGGTAATATATTTGGAAATATATTCAAATTATAGTTATAAAATAACTGTGCAGTGCAAAAGTAGTTTCCTTTTACAAAATAGTTATAAAGATTTGCCTAATGGACTCACTTTTTTAAATAAAAACATATTCTTTGAAGGAAGGAGTTATAATTTTTTCATTTTATAGGCTTCATGAGCAGGATTTTTATTACAGGGCACATAATTTTATTTAACCATGACATGAGGTAAAAATTAAATAGATGTCTATTTCTTTCAGCTATTCCAGACCAGTGTAATCCCCTGCCATGCAATGAAGATGGATATATAAACTGCAGAGATGGCCAAGCTACATTCACTTGCATTTGTAAATCAGGCTGGCAAGGAGAAAGGTGTGAATTTGGTATGTATAATAAATCCACCTGGCTCATCTGGATTGGCCATTAGAAAAGTTCTCTAAAGGTTATATTCTTTAAAAATAATTTATTTTTTTTCTTTTTAGATATAAATGAATGCAAAGATCCCTCAAATATAAATGGAGGTTGCAGCCAGATTTGTGATAATACACCTGGAAGTTACCACTGTTCCTGTAAAAGCGGTTTTGTTATGCTTTCAAATAAAAAAGACTGTAAAGGTAAGAGCAAAAAGGTAGAATAAAAGGGTGAGAACAAAATTGTGTTAGAACAAAATTTGTGTGAGAACAAAATTCAGTTAGAGGACTTTTCCTAGGAAATTCTTGGAAAACTCTCTGGTTGTAAGTGATTATGGTAAACATAAATTTGTATCCAGCCTGAAGCCTTGTGAAAGGATGAGAATGTCTTTAGTTTACGGTACTAGCAAGAGTGTTTTGTTGCTTTCTTATTGTGTGTGGGTACACACATATGTGCATGCTTCAGTTAAGAATTTCATTATAAAGTGAGGTTTCAGTGCAGGTCTTTGCATGTTGCAGACTGCAGAATCATTGTTTATCTTTTGTTTTCGGACACTACATTATTCTTTTCTTCCAATAAGATAAACAGCTATACAAAGAAATATACCACAATCTTTAATAATCTCTTCCATTGTATTTTATTTTTTCCTTTTCAGAAATACCTTTCTGATTTCCAATATAAACCCTTCATCTTGCATCTCATTTCCTGTTGTGGTTTTGGGAAAGATGAAGATATGGTTTTCTTTTTCTTTATACATTTAAGATCACATCATTGATCATAACTCCTTTTTTTGTTTTCTTCAGACTTAAATAATCTCTGTCAGTTTAACTTTTTTTTTTCTTTTTTTCCCCCCCTCCCCCCAAAAGTCTGAGTCTCCATCATGACCATCCCCTGTCAGTTTAACTTTTAACATGTGATTTTACTACTGTGTTTTTTCTTTGTTTCCCTGTCTCCCACATTTTGACTTTTTTTCTCTATAGTACTCTCCTTTCTGTTTGACTGTTTTAACTGCTGTAACTAAATCTTCAAATACTTGTGCTAGGTGTGTGGATAACTAAAAAAAAAAATTCCCCAGTGTGGAGTTAAATTTTGCCTTTAGAAACTGGGTATGGTTAACATAGAAGCCCCTGGCCCCCACACACACACACACACACACACACACACACCTTTATTGTTTTGCTAAGAGGAAAAAAATTAGTTAAGTTAAAATGTGAAGTTTTCTTGTTGAACTCTTTACTTATATCTGCTTTGGTAAATCTCCAAACTAGATTCATATTCAAATGGTCTCTTACTGCATTGTAATTTTTAGTATGGTATAGTTTACTGTAATATTATTTAAAGTGCAGTAACTAACACTTTCTACTAAATAATTATTAAATTTGTGACCATCTTTCTTATCTGCCTATTTGAAGGTGTGTTTGAGTTTAGATAATTTAGAATAATAACAATATTATTAGAACAATAGTTACAAAAAACCATAATAATTCTGGATGCTGTATGCATTCCATAAACAAATAGTGCCCGTTCATACTTCAACATTAAAAATCTTCTTATAAATAAGAATGTTCCCAATGACCAGAACATATGTTTTTATATTCTTCATTTATACAATCCTTCATCCATGATACTTAAGTGACAGAATACATAATACTTGGAAGAATATCTATAAAACTCTTATAATGAGACCTTTGCCAAAACATGAATATGCTTAGATCAAGTTGCCAGGAGTTGTGTAAAAATGAGAGAATAAAACTTTTCACCAGACATTAGATGTCAGTGTAGAGTCATAAAATCAATGTTATATAACCTAAATGCATATGATCTAAATAAGCAATATGCCTCAAACCAAATAATTTTAATCATATTTTTAGTGTATTTTAAAAGTGTGTATTTTATAGCTCTTTTAAAAAATTATTTTATTTTGAATTAATTCAAGATACACATGAAGTTGTAAGAAGTGATACAGAGAGATCTGCTGTGTACTCTTTACCCAGTTTCCCTTAATGGCAACATTTGACAAAATTATAGTACAATCTCACATCTAGGATATTGACAAAGACACAGTAAAAATATAGAAAAATTCCCACAAGAGAACTGATTCCATTATTTTTGTGCAAGTTATTTTAAATAGAGTAATATATATGAAATTTTGGCTATTAGTTTATGGGAAAAAGTTGTCAACTTTTTAGAATAGAAAATACATTTTCCATTCTGAATTTTTTTCTTTCTCTAGAGAGCACAGATAAGAGAAATTCACTAATAATTATATCTGAATTATTTCTGTCACTTGTTTTGTTTTTCCACAGGTTCTTATCTAGTAACTAGTTGCACTCAATGTTTTGTCTCCTACTTCATTCTGTAATATAATAAATGCTTTTGAAATTTCTGAATTATTAGTTTTGCACTAAATTTATCTTGGGCTAACTGCAGTTTTATAAGTGCTTTGAGACCTTACTCAAACCCATTTTAAATTTTAATCACTATTGAATACTTTAGGCAACAATAGTAGTGTATGGATTAGATATTTATCCATTTCCAAAGGAATAAGATAAGACAGATGAGCCATCTACTTTGTTTTATATTTGTGATAATATGGAGTGAATCTACTTTCAAGACTTTATTTCAGACACATGTATTTAGAATACGTTTGAAGAATATTAAGACTATGGTTGAATCTCTTCTTCTGTTTATTTTCATACTATAACCTGGCAGATAAGAAAATAACTAAAGCCCTCTCCTTCTTTTACATAACTATAAAGGAACATGGCAAACATCAATCAAATTCCCTATACATTTGTATAAAGAAATCATATTTAGTGAATTAAAATATGATGACAGATTTAATATTTTATTGTTCCAAGACCAATCTTTTGTCTCACTGCATATATTAAACTAGATCTAGGAAACACAAATCAAAGATTCTTTGCTTGTGTCTTTTGGTATGGGAAAAATGTTTTTTTAATATATTGGTTTCATTTATAGATATGGACGAATGCTCTATGAAGCCAAGCATTTGTGGCACAGCTGTGTGCAAGAACATCCCAGGAGACTTTGAATGTGAATGCCCTGAAGGCTACAGATACGATCCCAAATCAAAGTCTTGTGAAGGTAGAATGGTGGTGGTATCATTGCTGATGGTGGAGAGGATGGGTTTGAACCCTGAGTTGATACTTAAAAGGATTGATTGATTTTGTTTGAAATCAACAATCAGATTTCTAGCTTGGTAAATTGGGTAATCATTGGCTTCCTTCCAGAGTAAAAGTATATAAGACACATGGTCTTTAGGTTTAGTTCGTTTCTTGGTGCCGTTTTATGAGCAGCATGTATTTTGTATTTGATCTTTTATTTTTTAATTCTTATTTTTTTTATTTGTAGTACTTTTTTGTTATTGTTTTGCTCATTTTCATTATTATTTTATTTTTTTTTTTTGAGACAGAGTCTCACTTTGTTGCCCAGGCTAGAGTGAGTGCCGTGGCATTAGCCTGGCTCACAGCAACCTCAATCTCCGGGGCTCAGCGATCCTACTGCCTCAGCCTCCCCGAGTAGCTGGGACTACAGGCATGCACCACCATGCTGGCTAATTTTTTGTATATATATTTTTAGTTGGTCAATTAATTTATTTCTATTTTTGGTAGAGCCGGGGTCTCGCTCAGGCTGGTTTCGAACTCCTGACCTTGAGCAATCCGCCCGCCTTGGCCTCCCAAAGTGCTAGGATTACAGGTGTGAGCCACCACGCCCGGCGACTTTTAATCTTTTTTTTTCTTCAAATTCAAAATCAGAAAATTAGTATAATTGTTATACTTTTATTATTACTTGCTGAAAGTTATAAATTAAATTTGTTGTTTCGAGTATGTAAATGAATAAAAATTACATTGTAACTTATTCCAATTTCCATGTCAAGTGTTTAAATGTGATTTGATGTCATAGGAATTTCTTTCCCTAAGGATCTATTATTATTGAATATCTCATACTAAAATCAGAATATTCCTCTGCCTTTTAGATTGAACATTTAGGAGATATTAAGATTTGTGTTTGTTTTACCCCAGATGTAGATGAATGCTCTGAGAACATGTGTGCCCAACTTTGTATCAATTACCCTGGAGGTTACTCTTGTTATTGTGATGGGAAGAAAGGATTCAAACTTGCTCATGATCAGAAGAGTTGTGAGGTAAACATTTTCCAATGCTAATCTTCTCATCTCTTTTTTAAAATGAGAGATCCAGGTATTTATTTTCATAATTCTGAGGTTAGTCAGAAAAATACAGTTGTTCTACATTAACTGCTTTAGTTCTAAGCAGGCTATGAGTCATGATCTATTTACTAATTGTGGTCATTTAAGTCATAAATATTGGGAATAATTAGTGGCTGGTTAAAAAAAATGCTACAGAGTCACAGTTCAGAGAGTGCTCATCCATAGCCAGTACATTTGTAAAATGAAAAAGATATGTTTACTTAAGAAAGCAAGAAAAGCTGAGGTTAATACTTTTCTTTGTGGAAAAAAATCTTCCATGGAAATTTTAATGCAATCATTTTCTAGTATTCACCTTTCTGTATCCCACTCTGATAAGTTTGTCACACCTTAGGCATGTTAGTACTTGTAAGAGTGCTCATAAACTTT